GGTCGAGCTTGATGGCGCTGTTCGTCATCAATGCCGACCATCGCGCCTCGGATTTCTCTTCCCTCTGGGCGGCGCGGGTCTTGGCGTCGGCGATGCAATGCTCAATGGACTCTTGCAGATGCATGATAGCCGGCGTAGCATCCTTCGCCGACTTGGCTCGCTTGTTGCCGTCCAGGCGCCCATCGTCCGTGCCCGGTGTGGGCGCGTCCGGCTTGTACGTCTCCTTGGCCTTGGCGAGGGTGCACCGGACTTCTTCCCACTTCTCACACTTCTCGATCCAGGAGAACACGTGGAGGTACTTGAAATCTTGGTCGGTGTTGTTGTCCTGGCGATACATGGTGAACATCTGCACCATCTGTGCCGAGGAACAAGTGTCCTAGCCGCCCGCTTTTTCTTTTTCCCTTTCCTCGCCGGAGCAGGCGTCGGCTCCTCGTCCTCCTCCTCCTCGTCGTCCTCCTCCTCTGGCTCCTCCTTGTCGTAGTCGAGCTCGCCATCCATGTCGCCGTTCAGGTCAATTGTATCTTCTTGGGCTGTGAAGCCGGGGGAGGCGGCGGCGGCGGCCGAGCCGGTCGTGATGATGTCATCCATGTCGGCCTCCGTCGCGTTGGGGTCGCCGAGATGCGATGAGGAGGCTTGTGAGAAGAGCAGCGCGCCATGGCGCAGAGGTGGCGTCAGGGAGGATGCGTAGGCCGGCGGTGAGTAGGTGTGCGGGGGGTACTGGACGCCGGCGGAACGCGGGTGAGGGCGTGCGCTGGGTCGGGTGGCCATGTGGAAAGGTGATGTTGGGGTTGAACCTGTCGTGCGCGTTGCCGTTAGCGTAGCCAGGCGAGGGCATGCACCCCCATGGGTGTGGCGACGACGAGAAGCCGACCGGCGACCCGACGCTCTGTTGGCTCCAGGGAGCGTACGGGCCGTGGCCGACGGGCAGATTCATCATCCCCGCGCAAGAAGCCTCTGCTTGTTCCGCCGTGCGATCTGCCTGCTCCGCCACGGCCGCAGCTGCCGCCGCCGCGAGCATCGCCTTGTCCCGGGCCTTCTTGGCGTTGACCCTATTCAACCGGTCGGCGGTGACCGTCTCCCTGCGCTGAACTTCTGCTTTCCAGTCAGCGTTAGATATGCCCGGAGGCTTGGACGGCGGCGCCCTCTTCTCCCTCTGCTTCGGCTGGGTGGCGGTGGCATCAGTAGCAGCGCGAGGTGCCATGTACGTCTTCGGCGGCATGGCGGCCGGATGGAGAGGGGAGAGGGATGAGAATGGCGGGAGAAAGGGGGAATGGAGGGAAACGGAGGGGGAAAGCAGGGGGATCGGCGGGAAAAATGACTTCTCTCGCCGACAGAGCAGACCCACGCGCCTTTTCGCTTCGGCAGGCGCCCCCAGGCGACCCCCGGGGGCCTGGGTTCGGCTCGGGTTTGCCGTCTGTTTTTTTGGCCCAAACCGGCGATAAACGAGATCCTGGGGGCGCGACTGAGCCGATTTTCGGACGCCAGCGCTAAAAAATTGCCTTGGGGGCGGTTGGGGCGCGGCTGGAGATGCTCTAATATAGTTGTTCAGATGGGGTGCCATCAGGTGATGTTCGAGGCAGATTTCAATGGTACTAAAACAGGCTATCACTACAACAAAGTATGATCTCTCCGAGTTAGGCTCTTTGTTCCAGGATGTTAAATTTCAAATGCGTGTGGGCTTAAATGTTTTAGGTGTTGGTCGTGCCGCATGCTCCTGGCTCCCGTGGCTGGCCGTGCTGCCGCGAAGGCCTCACCGCCCCTACTATTCCCACCGCTGGCCAGGCCCTGCGGCGACGGCAGCCTCACACCGCAGTCGAACCAGTGAACCCTCGCACTCCTCTCCGTGTGGGCATCCACTGTCGCGTCTTCCCCGGCTTCGCGTCGTCCCCTTCCTAGGCCTCGCCGTCCTCCACCGCCATGGTGCTCTCAGCGCGGTGTGGTCAACGTGGTCAAGGAACGACTTCCATTGGAAGAGTACTGTATGTGTGATACGTCCATTTTGCATCATGCTTTTATATCAATATTTATTGCATTATGGGCTGTTATTACACATTATGTCACAATACTTATGCCTTTTCTCTTTTATTTTACAAGGTTTACATGAAGAGGGAGAATGCCGGCAGCTGGAATTCTGAGCTGGAAAAGGAGCAAAAATTAGAGACCTATTCTGCACAACTCCAAAGTCCTGAAACTCCATGAAAGTAAGTTTTGGAATATATTAAAAATATTGGGCGAAGAAAGCACCAGAGGGGGGCCACACCCTTTCCACGAGGGTGGGGGGCGCGCCCTACCCCCCTAGGCCCCTACCTCATGGCCCCCCTGGCATGCCTCTGGTGCCCATCTTTTGCTATATGAAGTCTTTTACCCTGGAAAAAAATCAGAAGGAAGCTTTCGGGACGAAGCACCGCCGTCTCGAGGCGGAACCTGGCGAAACCAATCTAGGGCTCCGGCAGAGCTGTTCTGCCGGGGAAACATCCCTCCAGGAGGGGGAAATCATCATCATCGTCATCACCATCGATCCTCTCATTGAGAGGGGGTCAATCTCCATCAACATCTTCACCAGCACCATCTCATCTCAAACCCTAGTTCATCTCTTGTATCCAATCTTTGTCTCACAACCTCAGATTGGTGCTTGTGGGTTGCTAGTAGTGTTGATTACTCCTTGTAGTTGATGCTAGTTGGTTTATTTGGTGGAAGATCATATGTTCAGATCCTTTATGCATATTAATACCCCTCTGATTATGAACATGAATATGATTTGTGAGTAGTTATGTTTGTCCCTGAGGACATGGGAGAAGTCTTGCTATAAGTAGTCATGTAAATTTGGTATTCGTTCGATATTTTGATGAGATGTATGATATGTTTCCTCTAGTGGTGTTATGTGAACGTCGACTACATGACACTTCACCATTATTTGGGCCTAGGCAAAGGCATTGGGAAGTAATAAGTAGATGATGGGTTGCTAGAGTGACAGAAGCTTAAACCCTGGTTTATGCGTTGCTTCG